CTCGATGCCTACGGCATACGTCGTAAATGGTAAAGATGTTTCGCCTGGTGAACTCGACAAATTACTTCAAAGTCTGTCTTACCATTCTCTACTGAAGGTCAAGGAGGCTCTGCTCCGAGATTTGCAGAAGGAGACGAAGCGTGAGCAGAACCTTGGAGTGGCATCCGAGCCCCTGAGGGTCATTGACAACAAGACATGGAGGGAAATGCTGCACAACAGAGTTCGACGGTATGCCGCTTTATGGCATTCTCGACGCAACGCGCACTTTGAGCTGAACCAAGCACTCAAGATTCCCAATCCATCAGGCAACGTCACAATCGAAGCAAAGGCAATGGGGTCCGAAAAACCAGACGATCAGGTCTCCCGCCAACGCTTCAGCTACTGGAATGCGTTTTGGGATCGTTACGATCAGAAGATTCACGGCGAGAAGCCGAGACCGAAGATAACATACTCGCATGTTAATCATCATGGGAGCAAAACCTGGGCACACACAGCAGAAAGACGCCAGAGAATGGCTAAGAAGCGGGCAGAGAGGTTGAGGAGGCAGATGTTTGATGATGACTGATTATGTATAACAGATTTATGTGTATAAAACCAAAAGATTCTACTATTTTTGTACAATAGAAAATTCAAGCTATGACCAACACGTTGATCGTTTTCAAGTTCAAAGTATGGTCAATTTCTGGTTAGCTCTTTCACAACGATTATGACAGAGCCGTGTAGTGTAGAGATTCAATTGACTATCTAAACCTTCTATGGCATATTTTGCCTGGTATCGAGATACACCAAACGCCTGAAAGCAATATAACTCCTGGCCAGGTCCCTTTGATCCAATGCAATGATTAGACGGGGAAGAAGAAGAACGCCATCCAGGGCAATCGATACCCTCTACGATCCATTATACAGATATTTGGTTATAATAAGACCCTTTTAACGAGGGCGCCTTATGTACGGTAGGCATGCTGAAACATGCAATTACTTAATCAACTTTTGTCTAAGGAGACATATCACCCCGGTTGGGTGTCTCTGGAGGTGATGGTTGCTTGACCCCGAGGGAACGCAAGCGCTGCGAGAGCAGACCTTCAGCACCACCAAGTGATCCAGACCTGTTGAGAGCGAAGGCGTTACCGCCGTATCCAGGTTCACCTTTGTTCAGCTTCTCGTAGAGCGCAGGTCCCGACAGTGAACCATTGGTTGAGTCCTTGGTCGAAGGACGACTGGCTTGGGATGAACCAGGAGAACGCATCTCGTTGCCAAGAGCGGCAGTTGTGCCTGTGCTATTACTAACATCGCTGCTTGTGCGAACGCGGCCGGGAAGACAGAAAGGAATCGGGTCAAGTGGCAGGGTGTTGCCCGCTGCAGAGCTGCCAGTAGGGGAATCATTGACTCGAAACATGCTGTCCATGGCATCGAAAGCCTGAGACGAAGGGCCAGGGAAGATCCCTACGCTACGTCTGCGCAGCGCCTTTTCAGCGGCTAGCATAGCTCCAGGACCGGAGTGGGTAGGCAGCGGAGGATGCATCAGACGAATGGGTTTGTAAGGAGTGTAGCGAGGCTCTGGCCACGTTGTTTCATTTCTGAGCTTCTCCTTGCCATCGGGTACACGGTTTGCAAAGACGATTCGAATGCTCTTGTAAAGGTAATACCGCCCTTTTGCAGGGCAGCAAATGTGCAAATGAGCGAGATATCTCAAGATAGGGCGGTCACTGGCGTTTACTTCGGACGCTGCAGGGGCGTTTTCAATAATAGGACCAGCCGAGTAGCTGCGCTGCCTCACAAAAGTCTTGGTGCCTGGTTCCATGCCCGTGAGGTCATAGGGAATCAGAAACAGCTTGACGGCAGTCTTGTTCGGATTCTTGACAATGATTTGGATCTGCCCCTTCTCCGGAATACGATAGCTTCCGCCTGGAGGGGCTTTCGCAGAGCCAGAGCCGGACCTGCGGCTGGCTCTAGAATTTCGACGTGAGATTTGCTCAGATCCTTGATTATCAAGACCGATATCCATCATGTCTTCGCTGGGTTTCCTGTCTGCAAATCGGCTTTGTGCTTTCTTCTTTGCCCGATGTTCATCATCTGGGTTAGGAAGACCGTTTTCAAGGTCAATCTGACCAACATAGGGACTCGGCCCGTCATCTGTATTTGATCTACCATGAGAGGTGCTGCTGTAGCTGTAGTACACGGCAGGAAATGAAAGAGTAACGTGTGGCGGGCACTTCAGACTGGACTTGCATTTCCCCTTACCCAAGACGCCGATCTGAGCGACAAAGTCCAGGGGCTTAGAAGGGGTCGTCGACATGCGGCCACGAAGAATACTCTCTTCATAAGATCCGACCATAGATGCGTGCTGAAGTGGTGAAGATTCTGCGACTAGCGAGGACCTTCGTGGTCGCAGAAGAGCAGGCGTTGGTGGAGATGCACCGGCCTGCATGAAGCTTGGAGTTGAAGTCAATGATCGTCGAGGTTGATGTGCCTGATATGGGAATGCTTCTCTTCGATGCGAAGGGACACGTTGTGGTAGAGAATATCGTGGCGATGGAGACATCCACGGTGAGGAAGAAACTGAGTTGGGTATGTAGCGACTATTCCCAGTATATCCAAATCCATCTCTCGGTAGAGACATGTCGTGTTCTTCTGAGCTCTGGGCCTGAACCAAAGGACTAGTAGGTGGCTTATACACAAAGCTTGACGAAAGAGATGAGGATAGAGGCGACGTGGTTGATTGGAAACTCTCTGCACCCCCTGTAAATGGGATTCCCTTGTCGTGCTGGAACGGCGTATAGTGTCTCGGTGGTGAAGTTGCAATCCATGAAGTCTCTGCTGGTGCAGGATATCTACCCTTCGGAGCCGCACGATCCTTAGCTACTGCTTCCTCCTCGGTGAAGTTGCCGCTGTGTAGGGCCGATCTCGGCCGCTCGATGCTGAGGCCATCGCGTAGTCTGTTGTCGAAATCGGGTTGAGAGTCGTTCTTTTCGGGTGTGATTTGGGCAGGCGCAAGTAGTGAAGGTTCTGATGGCGATTGAGGTCGCTTTGTCTCGGGAGCAGGAGGAGCGTGGTGCTGAATAATAGAGTCAAACTGAGAGAGACCGTTAGAATTTGGATTCTACAGCAGAGAAACAGAAGAACGCACGTGACGGTTTGGGATCCAGGTCGGAGACTGAGCTCTCTTTAGTCTCTCGATTAGAGAGGCTCGATCCGATATCCCATTTTCAGCACATTCGGTTCTCTCGGGACTGTTGGTGCCTGATTGTGGTGGACTCTCAAAGATAGGCCCTTCGCAAAGGTCGGTACGAATGCTCTCCTCCGAAAGACGTCTCAGCGTCGGAGCTGGGGGTGGTATTTGGAGTTCAATAGGTGCTGCTGCTGGCTCAATAGATTCGTGATTATCTAGATCGGCTTGAAAGATAGGCATGACGGCGATGTTGAATAGCTGTAACAGCAGCCGTACAGTTTCTTAGTAGAATCCGTCATGAATAAAGAAAGACGAAAGAGCCGAGAGGTGGTGTTATAAAAGGTGACGGGTGATTCAATGCAGGGATTTTAGCTGATATTGGCATCCAACGGGCGTGGCTAAGGTAGAGAAAGGGTCTGATTAATGAGCCGAGATGTGTGGATAATGATGTATCATGCGACGAGGGCGATTAGAGCAATAGCCAGGCACGGCGTGGGTCGAAAGAATGCGAATCTGAGCATGGGATATGGGGAATCTGGGATCGTATCGTGGGACGTCATCCACCGAATATGACGACAGTTACACTGACGATGGAGTGAGTCTTGGGCGGTCCCGTCTTCCCCCGGGAAGAGCTAGAAAGGGCAAAGAAGAGGAGATGGGCTTATAAGTAGACGAGATGAGTTGTGTTGAGAGAGAGAGTGAGAGAGAGAGGTCATATGTTTAAAGAGAGTCTGAGAGATGAGGCGGGCAGAAATCAACAGGGTCTGGGTCTAGGTTTAGGTCCAGGTCCGTCCGGGTACAAGTAGTTATGATACGACGTTAATTCTATCACCAACTGGGGCTGATGGCGGTGAATGTGTGAATCATTCCCTAACAAGTCTAACGCTAGAACAAAGACTAACAAGAGAGTAAGTCATGTACCTTGATGTTTATAGATGCCACAAGATAGAGGAGTTGTTTATTTGAACAACCCTTTTAGATCTCTTGTTATACCGAGTACTAACAGAGGCGATATGATATCTTGCTGTGGTCACTACAGGTAGGTAGTTTGCCATGTTATGCTCGGTATTCATACCTTCAACACCATCAAGTGACCTACAGCTCGCAAGGTGGAGATACTGACCCCCCCCCCCCAGATATGCCACCTCCAAACTAACGACCTTTTTGGCTTGGTCCCTGATGAAGCATCTCAACTTATTGCTCACAAGGCACAGCAGAAAAAGAAACTTTTCACCCACGCTAATCTACAGTGCTCACGTCCCTTGCGGATACCTGACGTTTAGCGCCTGCTAAGAGGATCCCTGACATGCATTGGCTGTAATCGTGTGATGGGTGATGCAGACTTGACGTGTAGTACTTTTGAGCATAACACCGAGACATGCTGTGCTGTGCCTTGTTATTGCTGAGCTCTACAGGAAGCTCGACAGTCCATAGACCAGCCATTCACCCGATTTTTAGGTAGTGTGAACTCTCTCTTGTGTGACCTGGCAATGCATCCTCAACCCGAAACAGTTATACCAGCATCTTCCTCCATCAGCCCACTTACAACTGTAGACCAATGATGTCCTCAAGCCGTATTCGTTTGAGTCAGTTACACAACAAATCAACAAAGCAAAGTCGTGTGAGCTTTCTGTTATGTATGTACTTTTTGGTTGATCAGATTACGGCGCAGCTCCACCGAAACTCTCCGAAACCAACCTAAAAGTCACAAGTGCCGTTAATTACGGTGTCGGTCACGGTGAGTGTCGGCCCCACTCCTTCACCGAAGACAGTGGAGACATTTCTCAATTCTCATCAACGACAATCCTCATACACTCACAACGCCACGATCATGGCTCTCAAACATCAAAACGAAGGCGGCGATGCTGCCCCAGAGGCAAAGAAGCCTAAGCATGGCTTCAGAGTCGGCCCAGAGAATTTACCAGACGGTCCTTGGCGACGAAAAGGTTTGTCCTTTCTCCTATTTCACCTTTTGAAAATTTTCATTCACTTCACATACTCACATTCAACCACAGTCACGAAAGTCAAGAAGGAGTTGATTCACAAAGCCAAGGTCAAGAAGGCTTATGCAAAGATCAAAGCCCGTGAACAACAAAATGCGCCAGCACCAAAGACAAGCGAGCCAGTTCAAGATGAGGCTCCCGCAGAAGACGCCAGTGAGGACAAGCAACCTGAGGAAGAAGGCGAGGAGATGCACCCCACACGACAACTCATGCTTGCAGACGAAGCCAAGGCACAGGAAAACTCTGTCGGTGAGCCCACTAGCGATGGCAACAGACGGCGCACCAGACGACCAGGCTACTACGACAAGCAACTCGCCAAAGCAGCACAGCGCCAGGAGGAGGCCGAGATGAAGCGGCGGGAGTTTGAGCGCAGACAGGAAGAGAGGGCGCAGAAGATTGCTGAGAGGGAGAAGTTCAAGAAGGCCATGGCTAAGACGAGGGATCGTTATGGAAACAAGAAGCTTGGCAGGGAGAGTTCTATACTGTTGGATAAGGTCAGGAAGCTTGTTGCTGAGAAGTGAGGGCTTGCGTGAGAGATGGCTCAGCCAACCATGAATTCTGCATTGAGGGCGTTCAGAGGTTCTGTTATCGGGTTAGACAAAAGTTGACATACAAGTTTGATACCATATGACCGCTATAATCGAATCAATCTAAGGTCAGATCATAACATATTCGAAGTGCTTTTCTTGGTTCTGGCGCGGTACGAGACATGCTAGAGAGGCCAGTGCAGAGGTCGCATCGGTGTAAGGACGATCGGTACCTGCAGCAAGGCCACGGTGAGGCCGTGTCGACGTTTCAAGCTGCATCATATTGATGTGATGGGCATGTCACAGTTATTTGGGTCCGATGGGTCAAGTCACAACAGAACAATGTATCTTGCGAGAGACATTGTATGTACCTACGAGCAGATCACCAAAACTGGATGTAGGTTGTCTCGAAGTCTGCCTGCCAGTGAGACTGCGAGCCTGAAAAGCTGAAAGACGAGATTTAGATGAATTTGTGTCAAACAACACTCCCGATCTTGATAAATGCTTGCCATTACTAGGTCATTCCATGTGATATCGGCGGCCGACAAATATCGAATTCAACAATCGAACCACCAATGATCGACCACGGCTGAGTTTGTCGCAACTTGACAACGTCGAGTCCGTGTGAATCTCTCTTATTGGCTTTTGGAAACTCTCGGCCTTTATTTTGGTATCATTCTCACTAATACAAGGTTTCGAAGGAGGACATGACGAGACACTTGCAAGTTCGAGATGCTTCATCCAAACTTTGTTCTTTGCTCGTGCCTCGGCCATCAACAATTTGGAATACCTACAATGATGCAGTCATCTAACAAGGACTAGCTTGCGAGTATTTCCATATACAGCATATGTAAGCGGGCTGATGACTTGTCGCCATCAATGACAGCTCCAGGTCTTGAAACAGTCGAGCCAGTAGCCCCTACAAACTTGGCGGTGACATGACGGAAAGTTACCCTTTGTCGTGTGTTAAAACCGAAAGCTTGTCGGGTTTAGCAGCATATATGAGTGATCATATACCTATTCCTGCCTTGGTATGAACGTTACATCTGTCAGATCGAATATGGTGATCCGGTGTAAGTTACCGGCGCGCTTACCAGTGACGGATAGATCAAGGGGCTAGTCTAACGTTATGTCGAAGCTGCCGCAGGGTACGACGACGACGATCAAACATGAAACTCTTGTGCGATCGGGTAATACTGCACAGGTAGAGTATTTCTAAGCTACGTGGCTTTATAATGAGAGGACATATGGCGTTCGGAAGTAGAGCGAAAAATGCTGGAATGGGAAACAAGAGCGAAAGAGTGGCCCCAAGAGTTGAAGAGTCGACAATTTGAAACAAGCGACGGTGATGGAGCGGGAGTTTCAAGATATGCCTCGTCAGCTGTCAAAGGAAGTGATCGGACCCAAGGAAGAGAAGATCAGTCAGACATGTCACACATCAGAGTTGACTTGGTGAACCCATCCATCCATCAGTACATATCACGAGGCTGTGTAATCATGAGGGTTGCAAATGGAGGTTTCCGCAAGTAGCAATGGTAACGTTCAAGGCTGAGTGTGTAATGCTTATGCTTGTCAGCTGTGTATTCAATGTTACTCTCCTCAACAAGATGTCTCGTCTCATATGGGGAGATTGAAAAGTTCCAGGGACGTGGTCGTGGTCGTGACATGCTCCAGTCACTATCAAGAGGACCCCTGCTCACGAAACCGATCCATGCAATCATGTCCACTCGACTATACCCCTTTCTAACACGTGCATCAAGTATATTTTCAGGGTCGTGGGTTTCATGATGGAATTGGACAAAGGAGAGGAGAGGCCCGGCTTATGAAGGGAACCCCCGAAAATAGATACAAGTACAACACTCAAGCAAGCAAGCAAACAATGGTACATACCTAATTAACAAAAGTCAACCAACGACGTTGTATTATGCTAGGTTACTCTCCAAATGGAGAGCACACTCAACTCGCATGACTGGCATTCATCCATATTCTACCGAGTAGCAAGGGCCTAAATCCTCTCATCCCACTACACGTTTCATGATATGCGTTTCGTCAATGCCTTACGCAAAGGCTGAACTGAAAAGGGAAAGGGAAAAACCACTCTGTCTGAAACAGCGGAGCTTTTGCCATCACGACAACGCAACACGAGCTTTACCGTCTTTTTGCCATGTATGCGTACCCTTGCTTTTACCCATTAATGAACAAAGACATGCATACATACATACAGACAGACAGACAGACAGACATACATATGCACTGAACCTAATTCAAGCGATATGGCTGCTTGCAGCTGCGTCGAGGTTAACATCGTGTTTAGGCGGGTGTCCGTCTTGTGCAACACAACCCTAATAAGCTGCTGTACGTAGAGTAGGTTTTGACGGTTGAATAAAGGAAGCTTTGGCTGTTTTGCCACAAGTCTATCGTCTATGAAATTCACTGCATTCCATAGGTAGCTGCAGTAGTACGGAGTAGAGGTCAGTGGATTGTGTCTCGGCAGCTCTCCCTAGCTCCACGATCCCTTCTCAGAGCTTGTATCCATACAGACTCTTGAAGAGTGCCTATTGTGAATTCGATATCTGACAAAAGCAATGTCTCCCCGTCATCAGCAGTCTTTATTACTCTTGCAGGCGGGGTTCATGTCATCGGATCGACACTGCGGAGGAGGACAAGTTTCGATCCATCCCCCCCATGAAATGTCCCGTCCATTACCAGCCGCGGCCGCCACAAGCGCCTCTTTTCTGCATTGGCTTTTCCGTGAACATCGCGTGCGTGAGTGTGAGTGTGTGTGCCGTCTCTTGTTCCTTCAGCCAGAAAGGCTTGCTTTGTGTCCCCCCTGGGGCCTGGTTTGTTGCCCCTGGGTCTTTGCGTCTAGCGGCATACGCTAGCCAAGGCGTCTCTGCAGGTGGAGGGTGTTAGTTTGAAGACCGTCTTGAGGCTGGAGATGAGAGGGAGATTGAACGAATTTGAGGGGAGTTTTGGTGACGGGCATCATTGTTAGAGATTGTCAATCATGTCCAATTCTGTATTTCATCTTCTCTGGACAGATGAAATGCCGTTGGTGCCCAATAGTGAATCTGCATACCTTGCATGTACTTATTCAGACTCCTCAGCATGGTTACTAGCTACCTTATACTTCGCATCTGCAGCATCACGGTAATTATACGAATGCTAGCTAGAACGCCCCCCTATTCACCAAGGCCCGGACTAAATTCTCAGTCACTCAGATAAATGCTCCGTAGTCATAGACAACGTATGCAATTCGTCAGCTCCCAATTAAAATAAGACCCTGCTCAAGAGCCCTACAGTAACTATCTTCCGACACGGCGGTTGCTGAGACGTGGGTCAATATCATTCCAATAACCTTCTCCCTGTTATAGCCGTCGTGAAGTGGCAGGGACAGTTTTGGACATATGTACATATCGCATTTGCAGGAATTACAATTCAACCTTAGGCTATAAACCAGGTAAAGTTAAAATAAAATACCCAATCCAACCAGACCCGAGCATGTGACGGTTGTGAGCTGGTTTTGTCGGAGGTTTATCAGATAGTTTGGGTGAGACAAGCAACGTATTTGACGACATAATCGGCGAACACTCAATCCGAATCCTGTGTGAAGCTGCATGTACATACATACAGCACTAGAGATTAGCCCCTGATGTACTACCAAGCCCTGCTCCTTGAGCGTAAGAGCCCAACCGCTCACTTCTCTTTGTTGACATTGACATTTCTTCTTGACAGATGGAACATCCTTCATCGTGAGACGGGCTGGAGAACACTGGTCACAGCTGCTAAACCCGCCCTGGCCTGGAACGGCTAACTAGGGGCCGTTTAGCGCGTTGGCCCAAGGCCCCAGGTCCCCTCCCCTCCACGGGCGGGCTCTCCCCTTGAACCTAAGCTGTAACCCCTCTCGCTGGGCTGCCTTCCATTCTCCGTCCCTGCCAGGTTTAGTGGATGATCCCCTGGGCTGGCCCACTGCCCTCTGCTCACTGCCCTGGGGCTGGGGACTTCCCTTCAGTCAGTGGCTGTTCATCCCATCCACATTCGGATCCCACCTCACTAGACGTCTGTCTCCATTCATTCCTCACAGTCTCCTTGGGTGAACCAGGACCACGACATATCCGGATCAGATTGCTCTGCTGTCTCTTTCTTGCCTTCCATTTGTTGTGTCGTATTATCATTGTGCTGTGTTATGCTGTTGTGCTGTACTTGACCTGGAGTTCCAACGAAATCTCTTTGTCATCCTTTTCTGTTACGTCTTCCCTCTCTTCGCCGAATTCATCATCTTCTTCATTGCTTCCATCGCCATCTTACACTTAGCTCAGCTCTATCCGACAACGCCCATCATACATCGCTTAGCTTAGCCTCTCTTTCGCTCTCTCTCTCTCTCTCTCTCTCGTACATAGAGATTCATTCGCTTCTTTTCCCTCCTGCGTCGAATCTGCGAATACAACCTTCTGCATTGTTCATCTCCATCCTGGCCGACGTTCCTCTAGCGAATCCATCGTTAGAAGCCCCTGGTCCGTTTCTACACCCAGGCCCTTGTCCTCATCAAACCCTCCACACGCCCCCTGGCCTGGCTCCGTCGACTTCTCTCGCTGTCTGCTGGCTTGGCCTTGACCTTAACCTGACATTTGCTGGGCTGTCCATTGCTTCCTGACTTTTGAACTCCATTCAAAGTTCTTGTCAGTCGCCCTCACTGAAGGGCCACTACCGTGCGACAGCTATCAACAAAATATTGCTACCCCGTTCCGATTCGACCGCCCGCCGACCGCCTCAACAACGTCCTTTTTACGTCGATTTTCCCACTACTTGCTCCGCGATTCTTGGTCCAACCGACCCCTTTGCTCTCCGTTACGACCTCGTCCATGACGCCTGCTCTTTAGCTGCGTCGTGTCGCTTGCTACCTTGGGCTGCAACAACCCCGTATTTGAATGCCGTATCCGCCGTGAGCACCACATTTCGATCGCTTCACCCCAAGTTCCAAGACAAACCTTTGCTGCTTCTCAACACAACTGCCCACAATGGCCGGCATCGTGGAGGATTACTTGGAGAGTCCTGGAATGGACAATGACACCGACGATGTCTTCCCCTGCAAAGGTTGCGGAGAGGTATGCTGTTCTACTCGACCTGAAGAACACTGGGGAATGGTTTGCTAACAGGCTTGGAAGATCCTCGAAGAAGGAAAAGCGTTTGAGTTAGGTACGTTACAATTTTCAGCATTAGCTGGTCTAGTGGGATGTGTCACTGTGATCCACGATGATCATCCGCACCTCACCGCAAGATTGCAAATCATCTCGCCGTATCCTTGGGCAAGCTGACTTTTTGACAGCCGGTAACCGATGGCATCTGGACTGTTTTCGATGTAATACCTGTGGCACACTGCTCGACTCTGATGCGAACCTACTGCTTCTCGGAGATGGTTCACTCATCTGCAACAACTGCACATATAGCTGCAGCGCCTGCGGCAATAAGATTGAAGACCTAGCCATCCTGACTGGGGAGCAGGCGTTCTGTGCTACATGTTTCCGCTGTCGCAACTGCAAACGCAAAATCGAGAACCTACGATATGCCCGGACTTCACAAGGCATCTTCTGCATGGGCTGCCACGAAACGCTTATGGCACGAAGACGGAAAAAGTCTAAAGCTGCAGCTGCAGCGAAAGCAAGAGAAAAAGAGCATTCGCCTATGATCACGGAAAAGTCACTGCCCGCCCTTCCCGCCAACGCCATTCCACCGAATGCCTTTTCCAACGATCGGGTCGATCCTGATTCAGATACTGCTACAGAGCTTTCGCCTCGTCCACGAAATCACGGTCGGAACGAGTCCTCATCTAGGAGCAGTTCCAGGCCAGCTCGTTCTCCTGAACGAAAGCCTGATGGTTTAAGTTTACCTGCCACAACATATCGAAGCAACCGAAACTCGACTATGATGGCCCGCAACGACAATACGTCCAACGATGCCGATAGCTTCATGATTTCGGTCGCTTTAGACCCAAGCCCGCACCCAACACCGAAGTCAACTTCAGATAATCTACCAGAGTCAGGCAAGTCGAAGGACTATTTCAGCGCTGCAAAACCGGCGTCTGAGAAACGAAGCGACTCTCATACCTCTACACCACATATTGCTTTCCAGGAGAAAGGGCGCGCACCATCCTATTCGGAGCACGACATTGCACCAAAGCTTCCTGATCGCAAGCATTCTAAGAACTCGCGAACCGATTCTAGTAAACGCTCACCCCCTACAGACGAGAAGAGCCAGAAGACAAGTGGTCGCCGCGCACCTACGGAGGACTTCAAGTTACAGGAAGCTCCTAAGAGCAAGAAGCTTCTCTCAAGGAGTAGTTCACAATCCTCGAGTTTACCTGCAGAGACGAACTCTGCGAGAACTAGCAACGGGCCTAGTAAGGGCGGCCTGCCACACACTGATAGCAACGCCACCACACCTGCGTCTCGCTCCTCCCAAGAGTCAAGGTATATCGACGAGGATGAGCTTCGTGCATCTATGGACTCGTCAACAAGAACATCCTCGAGACCAGAGAACGCAAAGCCTCTTACGCGAAAGGAAGTTCCAGCTGCCCCAGGACGTAATGGTAAGTTTTCGCTTAGGCAAAAGTCGAACTGATATACTGACAAAAGCTAGTGAATGGCAACAATCGACAAAACCGACAGGATACCGCCGATGACCCTACACCCACTCGCCAGACTCCCACACAAAAGAAAACAACAGATTCTTACATGCAACCCCGTTCAGCTCCTATCCCTCCAGCCTCTCAAAACAACAAGGGCCACCCTAGTGGCAAGGAGTCAAAGGACGACGGCACCTCACCCAAGGTCTCGCCAAAGTTACCTAGATGGAGCAGCGGCGGTGACTTTAGTATGGACGAGGACATGGCGCGTATCCTCGGTACAGATGAAGGCTCAACTTCCATCCTCCGTAGAGTTTCCAACGCTGTCAGACATGGGCGCACCAACAGCGTGGAGTCACCCAACCAGCTATCGAACAGAGCTGGCCATGCCAGAAGCATTAGCGAGACTACGCGAGCGACACAGTCGCCTCGCTGGCCACGAACACCAGTTGCCGACGATTATCATGCACAGGAGATCAGCAGCCCGATGTCTTTGGCGTCAGGGGACGATCCTGCGTTTCTTAAGCGACAATTACGGAACTCTGAGCAGCGAGTTGCGGAGCTCGAGAGGCAGTTTACTACTGAGAAGGATCTCAAGAGCCTTAACAAGAAGCTGGTCGAAAAGCGAAAGACAGTTTCCGTTCTCGACACCCAGACTGAGATTATGATTCGACAGCTGGAGGTCTTGGCCGGATATGTCGAGCGTGCAAAGGAGACCAAGACACCTATCGATCCCCGGGATCTTGAGGATTCAGCAATCAAGGAGTTTGTTCAGAAGCTTGACAAGGTCAAGCAGACCATGTCAGCTGCAATCGAGCAGCTACACGAAGAGCGGGATCTGTTGTTTGAAGAGAAGGATCAAGCTATCGCGGATCGAGACCGTGCTCTGCTTGAATTTGAGCAGTTGTCATCGAAGAATGCACAGCTTGCTGATATGAATAATGATTTGACACATCAGATCCAGGAACGCTTCAAGTCCCAAATTGGAGGAGATATCAAGTCTCCTGGCGGTCTGGGTATCTACGGACCAGGCAAGGGCGGCCTTAACAACTCTTCGCTCAACCTCGATGCTGCTAGTCTCTCAACGGGTGCTACTCTGGTTCCTGCTGATGAAGAGCCCATCGTCGAAGCCGGACCAACAGTGGTTCAAGTCCGAAAGGGCCAAGCCAAGAAGTTCAACTGGAAGAAGGGCTCCAAGGGATTGGCCCAAGGTGTGGCCAAGGGTGTCAACAGAGCTGTCGTCGCATTCCAGAACGACCGTGAGAGGATGCAGCAACAGGGCCAGCTGAGCGGAGAGAACATTGGAATGCCTTACAATATGACTGTGGCCCAAGTCGAAGCGCCTGCTGGACCTCCATCCAACGGCGTCAACTCACATGACAAGCACAGTGCAGCTGCAGCGCTAACCAAGAGACAAGAAGAACGTGAGCGTGAGCGTGAACGACAAGGGTTTGGATTCTTCGGCAAGAAGAACGCCGTGCCCAAGTCCGGCTCTGCAGGCACTATGAACAACGTTGACGCAGCTGAGCCAGCCACGGTTCTCTTTGGATCTGACCTCGCAGAGCGAGCCGACCATGAGCGCCGACAGATTCCTAGCGTGGTCACAAGATGTATAGAAGAGGTGGAACTAAGAGGAATGGACCAGGAAGGTATCTACCGAAAGACTGGTGGTAACTCTCAGGTCAACATGATCAAGGACGGCTTCAGCAAGGATGAGAACTTTGATATTTCAGATCCTGATCTGGATATCACTGCTGTTACCAGTGTGCTGAAGCAATACTTCCGCAAACTCCCTATCCCCTTGCTCACATTCGATGTGTATGAGCGAGTTCTTGAATCAAATGGTGAGTTCGTTCGTGGCTTGTCAGATGACGGGATGCTAACAGCCTACAGCTATTGTCGATGAAACGGAACGAAGCGATCACCTACGTAAGACGTTTGCTTCGATGCCTCAAAGGCATCGTGATTGTCTTGAGTTCCTCATGTTCCATCTTGCACGCGTTGCTCAACGTGAACCAGAGAATTTGGTATGTTTCCTTGACTATTGCTCTCGTCTACAGTCACTAACAGTTGGTCAGATGTCTCCCAAGAACTTGGCTGTCGTGTTTGCGCCAACCATCATGCGTGACACGAGCCTTGAGCGCGAGATGACGGACATGCACGCAAAGAACCTTGCGATACAGTTTGTCATTGAGAACAGTAACACGATCTTCGAGGATGCTTAGGGAGCGCGAGATCTCTATACGGAAAGGACTTATGAAGACTGTATCGACTTGTTAACGAGGCCTCCGAGTCGTGGATTCTTGGGCTTCGCTCCCAACGAACGAGCACGATCTAGGTTGTCATGAAAAGATTACTTGGGCACTGTTGGATTTTTCAAGCTCCCAGGCCGGGTTCGCTTGCATGTGTCATCCAACCCGCAGGGCGTTTCTTTTTTGTGCCAGGACATTTAATGATATCCAATTCTTTTTCTCTCACGCTGGCTTGCTTGTTTGTTAGCTTGGCTGTGGCTGTGGCTGCTTTGGCAAATTTCTTGTGCATTTGGTGATGGTGGGTTTGAGGATGGTTTATGGCAGGCAAAGGGGGAGTATTGGTTATCTTTGTAAGTTGACGAAAAGGGGTCAGAGGTTCTTTTCGGTCGGACGACTCTTTATACTCTTCACGCTCTCTGATGGGAGTGACGGCTGTATCTCTTTCATGCCCTTGTTGATGCCAGTTTCGTCGGGGTTGTAACATATATTGACACCATATTATCCATGACCATTGATCGTATATGTATCCCACGCAGCTACCCCTACCTATCATGTTGAAGAGCGATGTCATGCATGACCTGAATGCAGGTGAAGAGGGGAAGCAGGTCTATTATTCTCCAGATCTAATGCCAGGACCAACCAGCACCTGAGCCTGCAGCTGATATTTATAGATTCTTTGTACTCAGCCTCAGCCTGATTCGGTACGTATTGAACCCAAGATGCAAGTTTCTGTGTCTTGTATACTCTACACTTCCTCACAATCACAAAAATTGAAAACCTTGTTTCACTGTTTTGCTGCTTCTGGCTTTTGCATCACTACCTTGAGCTAACCATGGCTACTCCAGACGCACCATGGACTATCACACACAGTTCAACAGATGCTGTGGCCCCAGCCTGGATTGACTCACCTAATATTCGAGGAACTCTGGATATCCTTCAGAGTTGCATCTTGACACTTATTGCGTGTATCTATACGGCTCTTCATCTCGATGTCCCCGTCAAGACGGCCTGGCATTACATATTTCTCTACAAGCTCAAATGGGTTGCTATAACCCTCTTTGCACCCGAGATTGCTCTGTATACGGCGGCGGATCAGCTACAACAGGCTTGGAACCTGAGGTCGAAACTTCGATCGTTGCAGAAAACTACTCCTTCAGATGCAGATCATGTATGTCTGAACCCCTATCACAAGAGCCTAGCCTGTTTCATATGCTTCTTTGCTAGATTTACTAATGATCCAACCTTTCCTCAGATCGATATCGACATGGCCTACACGTTCTTCATCATCATGGGCGGTGTTCGAGTCAACGTCGACGATATCTTGTCCATCCCCGATCTTCACAACAAGGCTTTTCGGTTGTTCGAATCAATGGAGAGGCTGTACTCAGTGCGCTTGAGCCCCTGAACAGTGACCTGGCTTGCAGAGAGGGGACACTGGATCCCGATATCGAAGAAGAAGATCGACGATAAGAGCAAAGCGGATTACTTCCAGAAGATACTAGTGGTAATGCAGGTCATACGGATGGTCCTGCAGTGCATTGCCAGGAAGATCCAAAACCTGCCTCTCAGTTTGTTGGAGGTTCACACTATGGTTCATGTTGTGTGTGCGATTTTCCTATACTTGTGTTGGTTTAGGGTATGCTCATTTGTCTAATGGTTGATATATCGACTGACATCAACCAGAAACCTCTCAACGTCCTGGATCCTGAGATTATTAAGCCAGGGGCCTTCGAAGGAGAGATAGCTCTCCTAGTGCAACGCCAGTTCTATCCCAACATGTCAACGAGACTGGCATTGTTCCCTCCGCAACAACATCCAGGTCAGCCTCCTCCTGCAAGAAGAGGTAGCTTGATGCAGCCAGACTGGGTCACACCAAAGCCTTTCAGAATCAACATTGATCATGTCTCGAGGGTGGAGGAGATGCAACTTCTCGAAGAAACTCCCGAATCATCTTCTCGAAACTGGATAGGTTGGTCTTGGATGCGAAGATTAGCGAGACCTCCAGCCTATGAAAGACTACCCGATACTTTGGCGAATCCACGATCAGGGCCTTGGGTAAAGCCAGAGCCGGGGCTGGAGATGTGGCCGGGGGATATCCTACCATCTGGGCTCTTGTATCACTCCGAGTTTGCACATATACCCCTTTTACTATCAGAGCAGTTCCTCCATCGCTGGGACGCCATCTTGTCAACCTTTCCATTCCACAACCGCGAGGTCCTCGTCAAGACAGCGAGTTTTGTCAAGGTAAACCGCATCGCTTGGGACTTTGAGATGATCAGTCCCGCAGATGATGCTGGACCTCTGGCTGGCCAAGATCTCTTCCTCGCTCGACTTCCAGAGTTCAAGCCAGTTCTTGACCCTGCGTACAGAACCATGCCGTTCAGCGAGGGCAAACGAAACCTCGACATCAACTTCAGCGTCTTCACAGAGAGCGAAGGCGTCTTTGGTCTCTTGGGCTTCTTCCAACAGTTCCCGTGGCTCGCTGGTCTTGCGCTGCTTCTGTCTGGTATCTATGGCGGTGTTCATCTGTCAGCTTGGAACTGGGCCTTTCCCAGCTCTATCGAGCTTTTGATGTGGAAGATAAGCTGCCTCTACATTGCGGGTGCCTTGGCTTTGTATTTTGTAATGGCAGTACTCGCCACAGCTGTGAGGACCGATGGAACGACGTGGCTAGTGACTTATATCGCATTCTGGTTCGCCTTGTTTGTCTACATGGCTGCCAGATTTTATGTTGTTTTCGAGTCATTCTTTAGTCTGAGGCGGTCTCCTGCTGGGGTCTACATATCACCAGCTTGGGTTGAGATGTTTCCTCATTTCTAGACCAATCTATTGCTGTATTTGTGCTTTATAAGTATCAAAGACTGAGAGTGTTGAAGCTGAGCTAAACAAGTAATGGCCAATGTCTCATGTATAAAACGTGCAAGTAATTACAAATAGCTAAATATACAACTGGACAAGTAACTCAGGGCATTAAAGACATAGCAACTCTCGACTATTCAATAGCCATAACTCAAGAATGCGAAACCAAACACGTCGATTCTGCCGCCAGTGCATCATGGAAGTGAAACTTGACACCTTTTTATGACTCGCCCCTGCTTTTGACATCGCCATTCCGTACCATTATGCCGTACCGTCCGCCCCTAATGAAATTCTGGCATCCAACGCCTGACCTATGAAATGTCCCCTGAACTCCAACCGATGAAAGCCTAAAGTCGCCATGTTCCCTTAGGCTGCAATTGTAGGAGTCTGCTCCCGCTGTCTCTTGACAATGTAGTAGGTGATCAAGCTCTTGGGATCATCCTGAACATCCTTCAGGGCATTCCAGAAGACTTGCTCACCTACCCTTGAGTGAAGAGCAACGCAAAGCTGAACGGCGTCCATACGAACACCAGAGTCCGTAGACACAAGGCATCGACCGGCAAGGCTGGCCAGCTGATCAAGTTCAGTATCAGTAGGGATAAAGTTGGGTCTCTTGTCAAGCAGGCTTCGCAACACGTGCAATCCAGTGCTGAGCATACGGCTTCCCTCAGGAGTCGAGCTGTCAATATTTTCAAGACGCTTTGTTAGGACAACAACAATCTCAGAACCGTCGCCAATGGTGACGAGTTCATCAGCCAAGACCTCAACGCCACTGACAATATGGGCACGGATATCATAAGCACTGCGTGTCTCAAGGAGTGATTCAAGACCCCTGGACACATGAGGCTGGAAGTTGTCACGCTCCTTTCGGAGGAGTAGCCTGATTGTAGCAAGGATCTGGGCTTTGACATCCTGAGCCTTTTCGGCACTCACCCCAGACAGAGGATCTTCCAGGTATTGGAAGAGTCCGATCAACAGAGCCTCAAACTTATCATCAGTGAAGATGCCCTTGGTATCACGCAAAAGGGACTGCAACTTTCGGAATCCATGAACATCAAGAGTCTTTGCCTTGACTCTGGTGATGCCGCTTTCAAGCAGTCGTGAGCTTTGCTTTGTTCTCTCAGAGGATTCTACGTCTTGCGTCACAGGGGATTGAGCACGGGCATTGGGCAAGTTGGCTGCATCGGCGTTGACGGGTTTGTCTTCCAGCACAGGAACGTTAAAGGTCGGCTTTGGAGAAGGCTGCTCATCAGTGAATGGGTCTTCATACACTTGCAGTGTCGAACCAGGCGCTCCTGAAACAAGGTCGGCCTGCACGGTTTCCGACGGCTGGGGTGTATGCTCAACCACAGGCTCCGGGATGGCCACGGGAGGTTCAGCAACCTCCTCCATAGGTTCATCGGCGGCCTGAGCCTCAGCTTCAACCGTTGGTTCAGGGGCTGTCTCTGGCTCAGAGACTGGCGCAGCCTCTCTAGCAGCTTCTGGTACAATATGTGGTGAATCCTCAAGCACAGGAGTGGTTAATTCTGAGGGAATCTCTTGGTTAGCCTGAGGAGCTCTCTGGTGAGGCTCTGGTGCAGGCTTCTGCATGGCCCTCAAATTAGCCATATTTGGAACAACAAGAGTAAAATCCTCATTTGCTCGGGAGGGGCTGCTCATAGGCAGCATGGCAGATTGCGATTGCTTCAACTTTGTAGGACTTGTGCGAGGTGAAACCGCGGGCTTGGTGCCTGGCCGCACCGATGTAGGTGATGCAAGACTGGATTCACTAGCATGTGAAGCATGTCCAGGTCGTGGTCGAGGAGCAGTTCTCTTAGGCGTCGTCTCTCGGGGTTTGGGTGTCTTGGACCTGATACTTTCAGGACTTCCAGCATCCATGTCACGCACGGAGTAGGGGCCCGCCGTCGCAGGACGCGCTGCCATCTCTGGTCGCCTCCTTGCTGGCCTCATTGGAGCACCAGACATGCCACCAGTTTCTGGGCGAGTTCGGGTTGCTGATGGTTTGCTTGCTGCTGTTGATGTACTTGACGTGGTTGTTTTCACGGGCGAAAGGTGAGCCATAGCTGAGCCCGGTCGAGCTGGCAGGTTCTTTGCTGCGTTTGCCTTTCGTTGAGCCATCATAGCCTCGCGAATACTTGGCTTACTTGTGCCCATTGTGCTCTTGGATAATCCCAGTCCAGGTCGTGCAGCCGTCTCTCCCTTCTTAGGGGGATGAGGGTTGCTAGGGTCCTTGTTCAAGAGCTTCTGGGCAGTGCCGTCCAGATCGGCCATGATGCTAATGCGTGTTAGCCATAAAAATGACAGCAACGGGAGTAAAGTCAACTTACGCATCTGCTTTTGCAGGCCAGATTCCCCAGAAGGCCCAATATGTTGATCGCATCTTCTCTCTTACAGCGGGGTTAGCATCAGTCAGGCCCTTCTTGATGCACTTCTCGATTAACTCCACACCACCTGTGTGCTCGATATGATGCTTGTGCTGGGCCTCTTTCTTTAGAATGGTCTTGAGCCACCCTGTAGTATAAGTTCTCGGCGCAACATTCTTGTCCTGGCAAGCCATCCAGATGTGTTGCATCAAGCGTGGAGTGTACGAAACCTTACTCAGGATCGTATCAACCGTCTCGTTGGCAAGCTGGGAGCTGATTTTCTTGGTTCCTGCAGCGAGCTTGACGAAGCATTGCATCAGCATTTCAACCATGGGGTCCATTGCAGGACCAAACGTATTAGCAATCTCCTGGATAAGAGCACAACCCTCCTTGCAGAGACTGGTTCTCAGAGAGGTAATTGCCTTGATGATACCATCCAACATGCTCTTAACCCCAACAAGAAAGGTATCTGGGAAATCAGACGGAACATTGCCCACATTGAGTCGCCGCAGTTTATTGACGGAGTTTTCTCGCTTCAGCCAATTCTGTTCCGACTCTTTACCCTCGAAAAACCACGCCATTTCCTTAAAAATGTCGTCCAGCTCGCGGTTTGTGTTGACGTACAGTGGCTCGAGAGTCTCTGGCTTGGTCTCGATTCCAGGCGTGATAGGACGCTCGGCTGCAGCTACTGACGAAGTGCTGGCCGAAAGAGCTGGACGAGGTGCTGGAGCGGCGGCTTCGGCGGCGGGAGTCTCGGGGCGACTAGAGGCCGGGGCGAGCTCCTTGACGATAGCTTGCTCAATTGCAGGTCGTACCTTGAAGTTCTTGAGTTGTCGCTTAAGATCGGATTTGGCAGCATTCGGGGCAGATCGGAAAAGTTCAATGACGGTGTTTTTGGCCGCATCTCGTACCATGCCATCGGCGTCCTCGAGAAGTTCCATGAGTACAGGGACGTAACCTCGGAAAGGCAGGCCATTCTCCTTGTGCATCTGTACCCCGTTAGCACACCCGATTGAGTGCAGCAGGTGTGGTTGTACTTACCTGTAGTAGCCAACTCATGGAGGTCTCCTTTGCTCTGGGGTTCTTTCCGTTCATGGCTGAGTTTCGAACAAAACGTTCGACATCTGCTGGCGCAACGGCATATAGAGTAACGAGCGAGTGCGAAGCTAGAGAACGGAACTTGTCTTTGTGGTCGCCGAGCTTCTCGACGACAATTGGCAAAGTTCGCGCGGCTTCTTTAGATAAGAGCTTGGGGTCTTGTCGAGAGAGGCGCGTGAGGAGATGGTTCAGGGCAGTGAAACCAGCGTTTACCAGAGCGGCATGCTGTGAGGTAGTAGCTGCGCGCAAACCATCGAAAAGCTGAGCGACACTCGATTCAGGGACATTGTGTTGTTTAATGCCCGATTTGATGATTGTGACATATTGGACCTTGGAGTCAAGACTTCCGTCGCCGCGCAGGATGGTGTTGAGGTCGGCGACCTGCTGGTCGGTAAGTTTTGTGTCGGCCATGAGTGAATCTATGACGAATCTGTAAAGCAGAACAAGGTCAGTCGCGATCAGGATGAAGATTCAATGAGGGGTTGAGTGAGACGCGCGCAGGCCACGCGAAGTGGGATAAAGTAGCTCTCCCCTCTCCCGAAGGGTTATCATGGTGATGCGCTGGCCATGGTGTTGTCCGGAAATTAGACAAGGGGGTCAGAAGCGCAAGTGCACATACCTATGACTTTAATTGCGAGACAGTCCGTAGGGGACAGAGCGAAACAAGGAGAATCGCTTTAGTTGAGAGTGCGCATTGAGAGCATGAGAGAGCTCTTTTTTAGTTGTTGTTGTTTGTTATGTTGATGTTATGGTTGTGGCACTAAGGATGAAGATGGGTATCCTTTTTCGTAGGTGTGTAGGTGCTGTAGCCAATAGCGCGAGCTGACAGAGCTGGCTCACCCCTAGATGATTGCTGTAATCTGCCGAAGAGTACGGAGTACAGATCCCAAGCACTGTACGGAGTATTACATCAGGACCATTGACACTTGATGCGCCGTTTATATAGGCAGTCATATCTAATATACTTTTTCCAGTTATTTTATTTTCCAAGTACAATATCCTGCCATGTTTTAAAGTAAAGTATCTATTTCTTATGGTTTCGCTGTCATCATAAATCGTTGGGTGTCAATGTCAATGTCGGGCGCAGCAGGTGCGAAGAAAAACAATCTGCCCGAACAAGGTTGCCGCAGTTGCCCCGGCGAAGAATGTCCCGCCAAGCTTTACCTTGCCTAAAAGGCTACTCCACTGTGTCGTACAGAGAGCTTCGCGGGGCCATTCAGAGCTTTGGCCACTAATTCCATACCCCTGTTCAGTTCTGCTGAGGGGTCATCTCAATCATGATACAGCCTCATCATTGATTGATTTGTTTCACCTTGCCCATGATATCTCAGTAACACGCATGAGCCGTTCTCGTGCTCTTATCACAGACTCGACTGTTTATATGATTTTCCATGATCACATCAAATTGCCGTTTTCATCTTCACTCCGCAAGCCTCCATTTCTAACCTCATCTTACCCCTCCGTTACATTCCATCCTCATCTAACTTGGACATGTCGCCAAACTTCAACCCTTAAAATCAAAATCGTGGTCCGCCCGTCTTAAACCCTCTCCCTGCTTCACCACCACGCACTTACTCCGTATATATGCCTCATCTTCCCCCAGTCACTCCCATTCCAACACCCGCCTCAATCTTCTCCCCGGCCCCGATCATGACACCGGCGATCCAAGTACCCACTCCCTCGGGCCCACGGAATGGCCCCGATATTCCCGGCGCCGGCAAGTTCAAGGTCCCCAAGCTACGTCTTGAATGTCGCGATCTCTCTCATCCTGGGGCTGCGGTCTTTCTTAGCTCTGTCAATGCTGCCGAGTGCCTCGCCAAGGCGGCCCAGCATGTACTGGCGCTCCTGTATGAATCGCCCACGTGTCCTACCACAACAATCCCGACAACACGATCTGTGACGGTGATCCTGCGTAGCATGTCGGGTGTAGCTTACACCACCGGCTCTGACCTGGACAGCGATCATAAGGAGATTCACTTCTCAGTCGAGTATATCGCCAACATCCACCCCATATCTCGTCGTACAGAAGAGATCAACGGCGTACTCACTCACGAGCTAGTTCACTGTCTCCAGTACAACGGTCATGGAACTTGTCCAGGCGGCCTGATCGAAGGCATCGCAGACTGGGTGCGACTTCACTGCCTTCTCAGTCCCCCTCACTGGAAACGCGACAGCAATGGAAAGTGGGACGCTGGCTATCAGCAAACGGCCTATTTCCTGGACTACTTGGAGGAGCGGTTTGGAAAGGGAACTATTCGCCGCCTGAATGAGAAGCTACGGATCCAGAAGTATGAAGAGAAGCCGTTTTGGACCGAACTGGTTGGACGGCCGGTTGAGCAGCTTTGGGGCGATTACAAGGAGAAGCTTGAGTCGTAGTATATATACAGATACACATTGAATGTAGGCGTCGATAATGGCTTACTGATGCATACAAGGCGTTCACATACGATAGCAAGCAGAGTCAGATAAGTCGATAGATTTTGTTAAAGAAACGAGATTAGCCAGGTGCTAAGGATATAAGTTTGCTACCGCAACCTGAACTCCAACTCCAGACAAAAAGAAAACCCAAGAACCCAGACCCTCAAAGTCTGTATACGTCTGTTATATAGCTCTGAAAACAAAATCCTACTCCTACACTGGCTTCCCTACCTATATTCCAACCTGATGATTTTGAAACTCCCACACGACAGAGTTTATTGGTGAATAGGAATGTGGGCGTCGCTCTCGCTGATGACGCTGCCGACCTCAGACCAGCTAGCGGGAGTAGCCATGCCAGAGCTCTCGCTCATGACATCGAAGTAGCGACCAGTCTCGCCCTCACGAGACGATTGCGCATCGTTAGCGATATCATCTCCGGAACCGACAAGAGATACAGAGTCGGTGGGTGTCACCATGCCATCGTCGCTGATGATTTCAGGTTCAGACATGGGGGCGCTGGGTGTAACGGGAAGAGGAGAGTAAAACTCGGGGCTAGTGTTTTGCGCCCAGGCCTGAATTGAGGAATAAGCGTCGTCGCGGTCCTCTTGTCCAGCGGTCATGTACTCGTCGACGCCGATTTCACGCTCCAGTGTGGCGGAAGAAGCTGTCTCAGAAAGGGCGGGGGTGGGGTCAGTGTCGATAAGGGCAGCGGGCTTCTCATCTCGGTCCTGTGTAGTGGCGCTGTAGATGTCGGAAATTTCGTCTTGGGCGGGAGAAAGATGGCGGCTTTGCTCGATATCGTCGTTCAGTTCGTCTTGGTCAATGTTGTGTTCGTCGGCAAAAGGGTTGGTGTAGAGAGATGAGAAGCCGCGAGCACCATCGCCACGACGTCGCAGACCGTCATCCATTGCACGGGTATCAGCTCCAGTGTTATAGACATAAGCGCCTCGTTCAGCACTCTCATCCTGACGGAGGAAGTCATCAAATGAAGAGCCTCGTCGTGATGAATCCATGATCGCAGGGTTTTTCTCGTCGGTTTCCTTGTCTTTTTGTTCCTTCTCTTGCTTCTCCAACATGACCGAATTCCAATAAAGCAGCTCCTCACGTTGTCGTCGGCGAGTTTCCTCATCAGCGTCAACACCAGCTTCGGCCCCAGCACCACGACGGGACTCGAAGAAGCCATCGGCATCCTCAGGTCTATTAAACCTGGGCTCACGGTGGGGAGGTTCGATGCCCTCGCCCATAGAGTGGAGGGCGAAAGCTATCCGCCTTCGAACATCGTCGGCGTATCGTCGCACTTCTGGCGACTCGAAGATGGCAATAGTGGTGGCGATAGCGACCGAAACAGCGACTACGGCACCTGATGCCAGGACAATATGGTTAGGCATTGTTTTTCAAGTCTGCAGAGAGACTGCAGATGTAGGAGAGGAGAGGAGAGAAGAGAGAGAAGAGAGGTGTGAATGGGTCGTGATGTGATGTTCAGTGGAGTGGAGTGAGAGCTGCAAGCGAGCAAACAGAAAGAAGACAACAAATCTCCTGTTTTTCGTACGAGACAAAAAAACACAAATTCAAAGAGAGAGCTTTCCAGAAACTCGAACAATAAAGTGAAAAGCAGAAACAACGAATAAATTGGAACAAGTTGGAGGCAAATCAAGGGGAAGTTTGAGCTTGCGTAGGCCTCGTGCTGCTTCTGGCATCTGTATTTGCCACAGGGAGCCTCGGGACTGTGGCTCAGGCGACACTCTTTTTGGCCTCAGCTCAGGCAGACACAGGCGAGACGTGCACTATGATTCGCAAGCTTGGACGCGGGGTAATCAACATCCCATGGGCTTGGCCTGAATGAGCAATGAAGATGATGAATACAGCGAAGATAATCAAAAGACTGGACAGTAGCGAAAGTGGTGGATAATGGAAGTCGTGGGAGATGATGGAGTGTGGCGCTGTGAATTGATCGATCTATTACATACCTGTAGCCACCAGAGGATGAGGCATCCTCTCTCAGAGAGCGACAGAAATAGTCGAGCACGTCGCACGTAAGTTGGTGAAGTGCAGATCCAGTAGCGACACAAACAACAAGTGAGAGTGACAGTGGAATACAAAGCAAGGAGCTTGGTGTAGGCTCAGAAGAACAATAGAAGGGGTAGAAGGGAAATTGACGTAAGAGGTGGGATAGGGAGCATTTAAATAAACCTATTAAGTTCAGTATCAATCAATTGTGACAGCGACTACGACTACGACTCAGATTCGGACTTACTCGCACACAATTCTGTCTGCCCAGCTGAGAACTTAGAAGTGGAAGAAGTGGGCTGTGCTTATGATTCTTATTAGACTTTGACAGCCAACGTAACCAACACCAAAGATTGTATAACAATACAATTGATTCAAATAACAATGCTTTCACCAGGTTTCATCTCGGATACATCATCAACTCTTCTAATCAGCATCAATTCTCTCAATCGACGCTTGCGGATGGCGCGTGACGTGATGCGATGTGATGTGTGATATGCATTACAGCGTCGACTAACAAGCGACCTACCTAATATCACGCGCTTGGCTTGGCTGCACTCAAATGGAAAAGAGACATTTCGAAAAATCTTGCCTATTCTGTTCTACTGTTGACGCACCAAAGTCAGTTCGCGATAATAAGCGTCAGTGAGAACAAGCCCCTGAAAGTCTGCTGCCTTTGAAACGTCATTGTATTCGTACGTAGGTAGTTAGTGCTGGGCGCAAAGTATAGGTAGTAAGACGAGCCTATTACGAGTACGTGAGATTGTCCGTCCCTTATATGGACTTGTGGTAATTTGCTTGCGCGGCACCGATTGTCGGGACTTGACTTATTGCCTGCTGCTCGAGTCAGCCTGGCTCTATCAACAAAGCCGAGCATGGTCTCATCGGTTTCGGTCTGTTAGCCAGGTACGATATGACGACGCCTGGCGGGATCTTGTGGTACATGGCGTACGACTTTGGCTTTTCCCCCTCAATCCTTCAATGAGCCAAAATGCGCACGGCATTATATAATGGCTGAGGGAGAAATAGCTCTAACTATATAAGTATGTAGGTGAGATGAGACAATAGTTTATATATCCGAAGCTACCGGCTCCAATACTCGACCGTTGCTCGAAGCTGACAGCCCCGGCCGAGTCTTCCGATCCAATGTGACGGACCTCGCATCTCACGGGCTCCCGACCGACCTTCAAATCGCCTTTCAGCCGCCGGAACCCAAAGCCACCGACCTCCGACTTATCATCGCTAGAGCCGCGTCTTGTCCGAAATCCGCTGTGGATAATAATAAGCACAACTCACTGATTCGGTCTTTTGTTCCTGATCCCAGCGGCAAAAGAGGATCGGTCGGTCCTGATACGGTGGAGTAAAAGTAGCTTTGATCCATCCAGGTGAAAAGGCGAGACACCGAGCGAGATACGGGGTCGGGTCCCCGTTTCTTTTTGCAGTGACCGAGTGCGACTTGGGAATACTTGGCATTCGGGATCTTGCAGATGAGCCTGACAATTTGAATGCCTGTTTGTCATTTGGTTGCTCTCACTGGGTGAAATGCCACTTTGCCCAGAGGTGAGCCTTGGTATGGAGATGCGACCAAGCTATACGTTCATGGCCTTCACGTTCACATTCAGCAGTGCACTTCGAATAGAGTAACAGTAAAAAGATTGTTTGATTCATGGAGACGCCAAATGTCCCTGTATAACCGTCGCTAATAATGCCAGATGATTGTGGTATAATAAACTCCCCCCATTTTGATTGCTTGTTCTGGCCACCGTCGATCCTCTTTTTGTTTCGAGGTATATCAAGGTGCCATTATCCCATACACATTTTAGTGCGAAGACTTCTCAGTCTTGATAGACTCGTTTGAGGAGACAGAGTCGGTAGAGTTCTGGCGGGAAGCCTTGGTGCGCTCGCTGAGGCATGGTTAGTACTTTGCTTGAGGCTACTGAAGTTGTAAGTCAGAGGGTATAACATACTAGTGAGCGCGGTCCTGAAGGACACATTGGTAACGGGCGTTGCCAGTCTTGAAGGTGAACTTGATGCCCTTGTTCTCACCGAAGTGGGAAGGGGTCTGGGGAGTGACGGAGTCAGACATTGTGATGATTGTGGTTATTGTGTGTGTGTAAGAGTAGGGAATAGACAGTGAAAGAGTGAGAGTGAGAGTGAAGAGTAAAAGATAGATGGGCTCAAAGAAAGAGGTCGAGCTGGCCTAATATACCTCTCGCGATTGAAGATACGTATCTCGTCATAGTTATTGTTCTCCACGATGTGCGTGCGTGCGTGCCTTGCCCGTTCCATTGATGCTGATGCTCCACGAAACTAAACAGAGTGAGCCATTTTCTTTCTTACAGTACAAGTCTACAAGACCAGGACCAGGACCAGGACCAAACAACAACACCCTCAGCTTTGCCCCACGATGTGAAGCCAACTACGGAGTAGAGGGTGCACACACCAACTTTCTGACGATAACTAACTAGTGCACCCCTGTTTCCGTCTTCTCCGTGCATGCTCCAGAGAATGGGGGTCAGGGCCGCCGTGTAACGGTACATACATCACAGTTGATGAGTCTGAAGTTATTGCCACTTCCATGTCTCGCACCGAGACCGGCTCCGGCTCTTTTTGTTACTCATCTCCAGTCACGTAACGTGATTCTTACAACTATTCCCGTTCTCTTCTCAGATCCCATAAAAAAGGACCACAATTAAGTCCAATACGCCGTCCGGCTAAGACGGGAAAAGAGAGAGACGTCCTTCTAGAAACCCCAACTGCAGATTTCTAGGGTTTCCTATCCTGTCCATCGAACCAATCAGCAACTCCGATTTCTCGCCTCACCCCAAGATTTCAGGGAAAAAAAGCCGCGGGATGACCTTGTCGATCGGAGCTCGCTCCAATGGGACAATTTACTCGCGCTTCAATTGGGCGCTCTGCCTTGCGTCGCTTTGCGGCAACGGATATCCTCG